GTGAAAATTGATGTGAAATATTAGCAAAGAATTAGAGGATAACAAGAGCTTTGTTTGTTTGAGACTCAGGCTGTTCTCACATGGCGCCTTCGCTTCCAGCTCACACTTGTGACTCCTAAAATGTCATTTCACCTATTTAAAACTCTAATTTAAGAAATCTATAATCAAACCTTTTTATATATGTCACTAGTCAGAATGGCATCGTAGATAAGTTTTATTTTGAAGTAACATTTCACTGTGCAAGATAACATCATAGATATCTGTAGTTATGTCAGACATCGGTGGAGGCGGGAGTGATGCACTTCAAACATATGACAATGACAAACCAGTTTACTGTCATGTTCTGGAGCCTGAAGACAAAGTTCTGGTAAATTTTGACCACAAGTCTCTGATAAACAAAGCTCCTGTTCTTCACAAACTCCTGGCTGTTGAGCTCTTTCCACATCATGACATTTTCTAATGATCTTAACCCACAAAAGCAGAAAAGAATTCATATGAACGTAAGTGTTAATATTTGTTTTTTGGAAAATTAAATTAGTTGCTGACTCGTCACAGTGTGATTACACCCAGCCAAATGATATCTGATATGGTATCTGTCATTTAAATTTTGGAGGGTAAAACAGTTTCCCTTTGTTTTTCACTAGGAAGATTTAAATTATCTGCAATACCTATCTAATATAGCTAATTTTGTTCAAATGGTTTGTCATAGAGCTGTAAGGTGGATTGGTGGTCAGCACCGTTGCCTCGCAGCAAGAACGTCGCCGGTTTGCGTCCCGGTGAGGAGACCCGGGATCTTTCTGCGTGGAGTTTGCATGTTCTCCCCGTGCAGCGTGGGTTCTCTACGGGTTCTCCAGCTTCCTCCCATAGTCCAAAAAAATGTTGAGGTTAATTGGTGATTCTAAATTGTCTGTAGGTGTGAATGTGAGTGTGCTTGGTTGTCTGTCTCTAAGTGTAGCCCTGTGACAGACTGGTGACCTGTCCAGGGTGTCTCCTGCGTTCACCCTGTGTCAGCTGGGGTAGACTCCAGCCCCCCCGCGACCCTAGTGAGGATTAAGCGATGTATAGATGATGGATGGATGGTTTGTCATAATTACCTGTTAAATTACTTTGGTACACATATGCTCAGAAAATGACACAGTCTACATTTTGGACAATTTTATTGCCCATGCTTAGTCCTGAGTACATGTAGAACATCAGAAGGTCCAGTGTGACCACACAACCTCCAGAACTTGTGTAAATAAACACAATGTCCTCAGAAGATAGGAAATGTGTGGAAACCTGTAGTCACTAAAGAAGCACATCCCCTCTATATCTCAGTGCTACTTACTGCATGTGTATGTGCTAGTATGTGGGTGTGTCTTTACATTAAAGCGACTAATCTCCATAATATTCTCTCTGCTGCATTCAAAGGCTGCATCTGTTGTTAAGTCCATTGTTTTACTGTAGCAGTCCAGCTCTCGATTCTCTCTCTCGCAGCAGCAACAACAGCCTCTAAATCTTCGCTTTGGTCATTTTAATAACGATGGAGCTCTTCCACTCCCTCACTTGGTCTCCCAAAGGCTCCCCCCGCCTTTTCCTTTTTTTCTTTCCTTTTTCCACCCCTCCTATTCATCCCTCCATCACTGAACCAGAAGAAGAAGAAGGAGGAGGAGGAGTAATGAGATACCTGGATCAATCCTCCCCTCCACTATCACCACAACAACCAGCAACACCTACGCCACTAAATCCCCTTGAGAAAAAGCTGCCATCACAATTAGTTTCCTCCTCTCTGGTCATAACTCAAACCAAAGTACCTGCACTGAAATCAGTCAACCTGGGCTCGGGAACAAAAATGGCAGCGCGTGGGCTTGCAGCAGCTCGTAAACAGAGTTTGCGAGGACGTTTCACTGAGGTCAGGTGGGAATGCATAAATCTCAACTTGTTTTTCACACTGTTAAAGGGCCATTAAGTAAGATTTGCTCTACCCCGTAACAGAAAATGGCTGTAATATATCTCAATAAGGATCAATATTTCAGTGATTCCTTCGCAGTATGACGGGGAATCTGGCTTTCAGATCTGCCATTTGAGAATTTTCAAGGTGCCTCCGGGGAAATTTTCTGAGCGTTCACAGAAAATCATTTTATAATTTCTTGATTTTGTAAATTTATCCCATTGCTCACTGGATTCAATAAATCCTGAAAGTCACAAGATGTTATTCACACAGTTTTAGCTGCTAAATTTATTTGTATTTCCAGCAATAAAATATATTCAAGTGTCTGGCCAAAAGATTTACCATCCTGG